TGAGATCTTGTTAGAGATGCAAAATCTCAAGCCTTATCCCATACCTACTGAATCAGAATGTACATTTAACAAGACCCCAGGTGATGAATATGCCCACTGAATTTTGAGAAGCACTCTTTAGCATTCTGGTTGTCAAACATGGCTGCACCTTGGCATCACCTGGAGCACTGGAAAATAACACTGATGCTTCCATTTAAATAACTCACTCGGCCATATCCTTAAGTAAGTACCAGACCAAATACAATAAAAAACGTACTGTAACTTCAACAACAATTATTGAACTGGCACATATCCAAGGGGACTTGGAATCCTCTCATTTCATTTGACATTGCACGGACACACAGTCACACAGACACTCATCCACATTTACTCATTTTGTTTTATCACAAACTGGTTTGTCTTATACCATGAGTTGTCAAACTATGGCCTGCAAGCCAAATCAGGGCCTCCATCTGTTGTTTTGCTTTTTTAAAATTTGTTAAAGACTTTATTTTTAGAGCAGTTTCAGGTTCACAGCAAAATTGAGAGAAGGGCACAGATATTTCCTTTATATCCCCTGCCCCCACATATGCACAGCCTATGCCACCATGAACATCCAGTACCAGAGTGGTAAATTTGTTACAATTGATGAAGCTACATTCATACATCATAATCACCTAAAGGCCATAGTTTATATTAGGGTTCATTCTGAGTACTATACATTCTATGAATTTGGACATGCATAATGATGTATCCATAATTATAATATCATACAGAGTAGTTTCACTGCCCTAAAAATGCCTTGTGCTCCACCTATTCTTCCTTTCTCCCCTCTCAAACTGGTACTTTTTACTGTCTCCATATTTTAAAAATTGAGATATATTTGACATATAACATTAGTTTCAATGTATATCATTCAATATTTGTATATCTTGTGAAATAATCACCACAGTATGTCTAGTTAACATCCATCACCACACAGTTACCATTTTTTTCTTGGATGAGAACTTTTAAGATTTACCCTCTTAGGAACTTTCAAGTATACAATATAGTATTATTAACTATAGTCACCATACTGTACATTACATCCTATGACTTATAACTGGCATTTGATACCTTTTGACCACTACCCATTTTGCATACCGTTCCAACATCTGCCTCTGCTCTGGTAACTACTAATCTGTTCTCTGTATCAATGAGTACAGTTTTGGGTTTCATTGTTATTGGCTATTTTATTTTTAGATTCCACATATAAGTGAGATCATATGGTATTTGTCTTTCTCTGTCTGACATATTTTATTTACCATTAATGCCCTCAATGTCCACCCACATTGTCCCAAATTGCAAGATGTTTTTCTTTTAATGGCTGAGTAACATTCCATTATTATATTGTAATATTATATGTGATATATATAGAATATATATCACATTTTCTTTATCCACTAATACATCGATGAACACTTAAGTTACGTCCATGTCTTGGCTATTATAAGTAATGCTGCAATGAACATGGGGGTGCGTATATTTTTTCAAGTTATTGCTTTCATTTATTTCAGATAAATATCCAGAAGTGGAATTGCTAGATCATATGGTAGTTCACTTTTGATTTTTTGAGGAACCTTCATACTGTTTTCCATAGTGGCCGCACCAATTTATGTTTCTACCAATAATGTATGAGGGTTCCCTTTTCTCCACAACCTTGCCAACACTTGTTATTTCCTGTCATTTTGATAATAAGTATGAAGTGATATCCTATTGTGGTTTTAATTTTCATTTCCCTAATGATTATTGATGTTGAATGCCTTTTCCTGTTCTTGTTGGCCATCTGTTTGTTTT